GTTGTGGCGGGGGCCTGTGGGCCCAGCTACTTGGGAGGTGGAGGCAGGAGACTTGCTTGAGCCCAGGAGTTGGAGGTTGCTGTGAGCTGTGATGCCCCAGCACTCTACCCAGGGAGCCAGCTTGAGGCTCTGTCTCAAAAAAAAAGGACATAGCACATACTTGGCTCATGTTAATTTCTCAAGTATTAATCATTATCATTTATTCTAACTACTCATTCCTATCCTCATGTCCACTCCCACCAGAGGAAGAAATAATGGCATTGGGTTAACATAGGGTCTTGTCACCAGAGTATTGTTTTGAATGTGGGTAATCTTTAGGTTGTACTTGGAGAATCCCTCCTCCAAAGCCACTCTCCAGATGCACTCACTATGAACTGAGCCTCTTTCCAGTAAACTACTTTGCCTTTCTCTTCTTTCTTCACCCCCTACTCCCCTCCAATCCCCTTAAGTGTGTACACAGCAAGCTCCCCTCTTTCCTTACCCCTTCTAGTCTGCCTGGCTAGACTGGAAGCCCTCTGAGGGCAAGGCCCAGGCCTCAAGTCACTGATCTTTAGGGCAATGACTCAGTCAGGGACACTTCTTACAAATATGCACAACAGCACCTTCAGATCAGCAAAGACACCCATCTTCAACTATTACAGACCCAGCAGAGATTCCTGACACAGGGATAATATGTTTGTACATCCATTTTCTCATTGGTCTGCCCAGAGGAGCACCTGCTTTTAATTGGTCCACCCAGGATGGGTGCCCTTTTTTCATTGGTTGGTTGGAAAGTAAACTGGGCCTGTTTCCAATTAATCTCCCCCAAAGGAATGCCTATTTCTAAGAATGTCTATTCAAAGAATTTTTTCCAATTTCTCCACCCCAGTGGAGTCTTTTTTCTAAATAGCACAAAAACATTGTATGCTACTGAGGGTTAGAATGCTGCATTACTTTTCTTCGGCACTTTATGTTTCAAATTATTTTTACACATTAACTCGTCCCATCCCATGAAGAGCCCAAGAGGTCAAAATCATTGTTCCATTTGCACTATACATATTGGTGAATTGAGGTTAGAAGAAAACATCCTGCTATTAGGTAGCAAATCAGATATGAAAACAGCTTACTTTGGTTCAGTATAAATTTAGCATAGATTATTCAACTGTTCCATGCCATGTTTTATTTATTTTATTTATTTTTAAAATTTTTTTAGAGACAAGGTCTTGCTGTGTCATCTAGGCTGGAGTGTAGTAACACAATCTTAGCTCGCTGCAGCCTTTAACTCCTGGGATCAAAACATCCTCCTGCCTCAGCCTTCCCAGGCATGCACGACCATGCTCAGTTTTAATTTTTTTATTTTTTAAGAGACCGGGTCTGGCTGTATTGCCCAGGCTAATCTAGAACTCTTGTCGTCACGCGATCCTCCTTCCTTGGCTTCCCAAAGTGCTGGGATAACAGGTGTGAGCATGCACCTGTACCTCATTTCATCCTTACAGTAACCGTATGGAATATATAAGGGAAGGCACTTAACGTTCATTTTCTCTTCTCATTCTCTTACAACTCTGGGAACTAAACATTATATGTTTTCATTTTATTGATGAGGAAACTGAAGTAGTTTCACCCTTTGTAGTTAAACCCTTTGTCTAATATCACAGGCTGCTGCCTACCACTTATTAAGTGTGGATGGCACGACGCCAGGAACCGCGCTCAGTTATTTACAGGCATTGTTATTCTCTTAAGCCTCTCAATAATCGCACGATGTCTGTATTCTTTTTTTTTTTTTTTTTTTTGAGACAGAGCCT